ATGACCAAAAGCAGCCTGGAGAGGAAAGGGTTTATTTCACTTCCACTCCCACATCACAGTTCATTCATCATCCAGGGAAGTCAGGGCAGGAACTCAAACAAGGCAGGAAACAAGAGGCAGGAGCTAATGCAGAGATCATGGAGAGGTGCTGCTTACTGGTTTGCCTCTCTTAAGACTTGCTCAACCTGCTTACTTATAGAACCCAGGACCACCAGTCCAGAGGTATAACACCACCCACAATGGACTAGCCCTTCCGCATTAGTCACTAAGAAAATGCTCTACAGACTTGCTTATAGCCCTATCTTGGGGAGCCATTTTCTCAATTGAAGTTCCCTCCTCTCCAATGAGTTTGTGTCAGGTTGACATAAAACTATCCAGCACACTGGGATACTTGAGACATTATAAAACAAACAAACAAAGAGGACTAGAGTTTGAATCCCAGTATGCACACAAGTGCCGTGTGGCATGGTGATCTGTTAGTAATTCCAGACTCAGAAGATAAAAGGGTAGAGACAGGTCATCCCTGGAGCTAGCTGGCTATCTAAGACTTGCCTTATCTGCAATCTCTGGGTTCAACTGAGAGACCTTGCCTCAAAAATAAGATGGAGAGTGAATGAGAAAGACTCCCTTGTTGACCTGGCAGTCCCACATGCATACACACACACACACACACACACACACACACATGCACGCACGCACGCACGCACGCGCGCGCATGCACACACCAAACCACGAACCAAATCAAAACTCTTGCTCTGTGCTTTCAAACATATTAAAAATGTTTCCAAACTTTTTCTCATAGAAAACTTTCATACAACCCCCCAAGATATAAAGCTGGTGGGGTTTTTTGGTTTTTTTTTTTTTGCACTAAAAGAGGAAGTCAGGATGCCATGCTTCATCTACCCAGCTTCTAGTTGGGTAATCCTGTTTCCACCCTCAAAGAGCTCCTGAGTTCCAGTGTCCTGGGATGACAGCCAAGGGAAGCCCCACATTTGACAGGTGATGAGACAGCCCAGAGAGTGGCAGCACAAGACTTCACATGCATGAAAAACTCTCTTGCAGTTCAGGAGCTAAAGTCATTCCCAGAGGGTCAAAAACGGCCTTCAGTCACCAAGACCACACTCAGGCCTCAGAACTGGAAGTAGTCTTCGGACTTTCCCTCCTGTTCTGATGCAACTGCTGACCTTCTCTCCTGACCCAGGAGAAGGAGAAGGAAAAGACAGAACAGGCTCTGAAAGGACAAGTGCAGGCTGCCTGGCTGCCTGTAATCCTGGCTGGGAAGGCAGAGGCAGGAGGATCAGTTCCAAGTCTGTTTCAGAAGGAGGGAGTAGGAGGGGCAGGAAAAGGAGAAAGAAGAGGAAGTAAGAAAGAAGATGAGGAGGAGGAATAAGAGGATGAGAAGGAAGAGAGGAGGGGGAGGAGAAAGCAAAGTCATCGGATCCTATCCTGGGCATCTCTATGGGCACTGTGCATGGGCTTCTATCCCAAAAAGGTGGCCGGGGCCAGTGATGTGAGGTGAAATGGTGTTCACATAAACAAAAGAACTTTGTGGGCTGGGTGGATTCTGGCATGACCGGGCACGAGGACATAACAACTTGCTTTTCCTCAGAGGGAACAGCAGCTTAATGTTGATGTGCCAGCTCCATCATTGTGCAAGCCCTCCTCCGCCTCCTTCTTCCCTGCAGCTATAAGACGCACTGTCAGATGAACACTCATTCTTCTTCCTCCTTTGTAATATAACAATGTGGATGTTTATAAAGCTTCTCCTCGCCTTTCAAAGCCAATACAATTAAAGCACAATGCATCTTAATTGCCAGCCCCCAGCCCTGTGCAGAGCAAATGGCAGCCGTCCCAATTAAAACAAGCATGGGCACTGAACTGAGGAAAGGTAGGAGCCAGGCTGGGACTTCTGAAAAAAAAAAAAACAAAAAACAAAAAAACAAAAACTGCCCCACACATAACAGAAAACAATTTGCATCGAAGGTGCCTGGTTTATCATAGTGCCCTCTGCAGGTTCTTTACAAATGTTTTTATACCAACCATTCCCCATGCTCCACAGTTTTCCAGAGGCAGGGGAAAGGCAACTAAATTATCTTTGCAACTAAATTATCCAACAGACCATGCCAAGAGACCCAGAAGGCACATAGGTGGCACAGGTCTATAATCCAGCACTCAGAAGGAGGCTGAGGCAGGAGGATCTTGAGTTTGAGGTTAACCTGGGCTACATAGAAAGATTGCCACAAACAATAAACAAACTAACAAATAAAAAGACAATCAGAATCAACTATCTTAAAGTTTGATTCTCAATACAACAGTAAGTGGATGTTGGCTTAATATGAAAAGTTTATTTTTATCAGATATTCTCATTTCATTTTATATGTGTTTTTGCCCCACATAGATGTCTGTGTACCACATGCAATCTAGGTGTCCATGGATGTCAGAAGAAGGCATCAGACTCCCTAGAACTAGAGCTACATATGGTTGTTAACTACCATGTAGGTGCTGGAAATTGAACCTGGATCTTCTGCAATAGCAACAAATGCTCTCTTAACCAACGGACATCTGTTCAGCCCTCAAAAGTTGGAATATATTTCTTTCTTTCTTTTTTGTTTTTTTTTTTGTTGTTGTTTTTGTTATTGTTTTGTTTTGTTTTTTGTTTTTTTTGTGTGTTTTGTTTTTGCTTCTCTTTTTTCAAGACAGGGTGTCTTTGTATAACAGCTCTAGCTGTCCTGGAACTAGCTCTGTAGAACAGGCTGGCTTCAAACTCACAGAGATCTACCTGCCTCTGCCTCCCATGTGCTGGGACTAAAGGTGTGCACCACCAACAACCAGCTAGTTGGAATTTCTTAAGCAAATACTTTGACCAAGTGTAATGGCTCAACAGACAGAGGCACTGATGGCCTGAGTTCAGTCCCTGGGATCCACACAATAAAGGGAGAGAACTGACTCCTACAATTTGTCTTCTGACTTCCACACCCACACCATTGTGCTCAAGTAAACACACACACACACACACACACAGAGAGAGAGAGAGAGAAGTAAATATAAATAAAATAAAATGTAAAAGAGAAAATATCGTAATACAGCTTTAAGCTCTTGCATTACCAAAAAAGACAGCACATACTCAATACATGGGTGCCAGTTTCTCAAGAGAGAGTCACCTCATAATTTGGTCAAAGAATGGAGTGAGCCACACGTGTAAGACACTAAGGACAGTACTGAAAGAGCTCGTTCAGTCAGAGCTGCTGTTCCTGCAGAGCTTTGAGTGACAAAGTGCTGCCTCAGACGGTATTTTCTCTTGACTGAAATCCAGATTACCTGGCACAAGCCCAGATATTTTAAAAGAATTTAGAATGCCAAGTACTGTCCAGGTGAGTTTACTGAACACATCCCAAGGAGGCTAGTCTATGGATCATGGTTTTCCCAGCTCCCTCCAACACCCACCTCAGTCAGGCATTCCCTCTGCTGGGAAGAAGAAACTCCCCCACTTGGGAAGTGTGAACTGTCCCTGGTCTCTTTCATAACACCAGGCAGAAATATGCAAATTGTTACCCATGCTTCCCCCATCCCATCTCTCCACTTCCAAATGCCACGGGTACTTCAAATAAGAAAATAAAACAAAACAAACAAAAAAACAGTGAAGGATGGGAGGCTTGGAATTAAATGATAATTTTCCCTGGTGTCTTATAAAGCTACATTGGGAGTGCTGGTCACCATCTGTCCCCTGCACCCTAAGCAGGCAAGCAAGCAGACAGGGCTGCAGTGTTTAGATAACCTGGTGTGTGTGTGTGTGTGTGTGTGTGTGTGTGGGTGTGTGTGTGTGTGGGTGTGTGGGTGTGGTCATGGGTGTGTGTGTGTGTGGTATTACGTGACTGCTACTGTATAGTTAGGACTACAAGGCTGTTGGGGACAGAAGTAACTTGTTCAAGGTACCACAGTGAGTCAAAGCTCCACCCTTTCATTTGTGAGTTCTGTCATTTTCCTCTGCTCCTCTGAGCTGAGTGTTGCATCCATAAAATCAGGCTATACAGGCAGGCACCCTCCAGGGCACTGTAAAAGGCCCACGAGTTACCTCAGCCATATGCTTAACACAACCATTGGCACACAAATGGGTCCAATAAATGTCAGGTATTATTGTTATCCCCAAAGAAGACCTGTGCCTCTTTTCTTTCACCAAACGGGACTCTGTTCCTAACTGAGGGCAGTGGCTTTGTCTCCAGGTGACCGAGTGTTAATTCCTCAGCGAAGTTCATGATGTGAGACACTGGGCATTAGCAGTAATGACTTATCTTCTTGAGGAGAGTTGTTTGGTCCAATTCTGTGGTGGGGTTCACTTGTGGCTCCTGGGCTGAACCCTCTTATTGACAGGGTGCATGCTCCCTTGTGAAAGCCAGCTCACTCCACTAGGAAGTGCTCTAATTACTGTCCTTCCTCCTGTTCTCCTTCTACCTCCTAGCCCTTCATTTCTCCTCCTCCCTTTATTCTTTCCCTTTCTCCTCTCCCTCTGTGGCCTCTGCCTTCTCAGATCCTACCACTTCCAAGAGCCAATGGCCCTTTTCCAGAAGTCTTTCTCCAGTCGCTCCGGGCTGTAGGGACACAGCCTACAGAGATGTGACAACTTTGTAACTGTTGCAGGATCTATCTGTAATGACACCTTTACCCCGGGCCTTATTATGGCTTAGTTTAGCCTTCTGGTCCTCTCATCCATCCAAGAGCAGTAGGTTTCCATGACTGACCTCGCCAATGATCAAATGAAACGTGAAATGGGCTATTCCAAAGCCTCGAGGCCCAGATGGGTCGATATGCACGCCAAGGGCAGAGCTGGGGCTCTGTGAATCGAAGTACACTGGCCTAGTTCGGTTGCTGGGGGATGTTCTGTCTAGAAGCAAACCCAACTACTACTGGAAACCAGCCAGCAGAGCTTGGGCCCGCGCGGCCGCTTTAAGAAAGGGGCGGGGCCCGGCACAGGCGAGGCAGGGCCTGCCCACAAGGCTGCTTTTCCTTTTTGATCCATTCAAAAATTACTCATTGCAAATTCCCGGACAGCTCAGAAAGGAGAAGCCGGGGGGCGGAGGACAGAGGAGGCTGCAGAGGCGCAGTGTTGGGACTCCCAGACACAGCGGGCTGAGGTCGGTCCCACTGAAGCAGCCGGCCCGCGCCGATCTCTGGTGGCCTCTCCAGGAAGCGTCAGTCTCCGCCCGAGGAGCTGGGAGCACCACCCCCGCCGTCCTCCCGGGACCCTCAGCTCCGACGCGCCGGCGATGGGCGGCCGCTGAGCGGGCACTCGGCACCGTGACCCTAGCCCTCGGTATGGCCGCACGCGAGGAGCTGTACAGCAAAGTCACCCCGCGCAGGGACCGCCTGCAGCGCCCGGGCACCGTCAAGCATGGGTCGGCGCTGGACGTGCTTCTGTCCATGGGCTTTCCCCGCGCCCGTGCGTAAGTAACCCGCTCGGTCCCCGCGACCCTCGGCTTCGCTCCGGCTCGCCGTCCTGGCGCTGCCGGATACCTTTTTGAGGGGACTCGATGGACGCGCTGGCGGCAGGAGTGCTGGGCTAAGAGCTTGCTTGGGAGTGTTGGGCTACTAGGGCAGATGGTTCGAATCCCGGGCTCCGCGGGTGGCCCTGGGCGGTTTGCGCGCGCTCGCGCGCGCGCTCTCTCCCCGGGTCTCTTTTGCTAAGCCCGAGGAAAGGCGGGTCCCTTGGAGGATTCGGATCCCCTGTCCAGGCAGGGTGCCGAGCCAGCTTGGGGTGGCAGGGTGTGTGTGGTGGTGGTGGGTGTCTTCTGGTGGCTGAGGAAAGGCGAGGAGCACTGGGGCAGGGTGGCCGGCACCCCTGCTGCAGCAGCTTCCAGCTCCGGATGTCGCTCTTGAGCTCAGGCTCCCTCCCGAGTGGGAGGAGCGGGAGCGTGGGTGTCGCTGAGTGTTCATTGATAGAGAGGATGGAATGGGAAGAAGCGATTCCTCCAGGGGACCAGGGTTCTCGTCAGTGGTGACGGCAGCTCAGAAAGCTGTGGGTGCTGGAAAGTGGGGGCTGCTATCTCTCCTTTCTTCCTGAGGGTGGACTGGGGAAGGGCAGAGAGCGCAGGTGGCTGTCGCTGCAGCCTTCAGCTTCAAGAAAGAGCAAGGTTGCCAGTGTAGGGCAGCAAAAGCAGGAGATCTCTGGAGCTGGTGCACTTCAGAGCAAGGGGTTGGAACTTCGCCTGACAGAAAGACGGCGCCTGTTGGCCAGGGGAGGGGTGGGGGTGCTTCTCTGTTTAATTCCTGGCTTGCTGGTTTCCTTGGTGGGAACACAAAGTTCAGGATGGTGGCATGTGCTGCTTTCTCAATCTTTCATTTACATCACCTGAACTGGAGTTGGGAGAGCTTGATCAGTAAGTTCGTTCTTTCCTATGCTTTCATTCAGGCGACAACTGTAGGGGTTATCCTGGGACCCTTGGTTCTTTGCTAACTTGGCTCCAGTCTAAATAAAGCAGACTCCTGAATGTATCATCCCACCCAGCCTGCTAGGAGTGCTGTTTGGCACAGTCGGTGAAAGGCCACAAAGTGGACCAGATTTCTGCTTCCTGCAGACTTGGAAATACAGAGAGAAGAGGTGAAGAATTCTACAGGGGGTGCTAGGCAAGGGTCCTCCACAGAAAGCCCTGTGGATGGATGGCATTCTGTAGGACCTCGTGAGAACCCGGGCAGAGTCCAAATGTGCTATAGAACTTGCAGAGTTCCAGACAGCTGTCATTTCTGAAGTGAGACCAGCGTCAAGGACCCACATTATTTAATTAAAGGAGAAGTGTTTCACTGGACTCTTTAGAGTCTCATATCTGATATTCAATGGGCTTTAAGGCAAGAATCTATTTCCTGCAATGGGTCGCAGAGGCCTTGCTCAGGTCCTGGCAGATTTGATTTTGCTTAATTCCCAAGGTCACTGACTATTGTTGATGGTTGGAAATATTTTATTTTCATTATCCATTTATCCTCATAGCAGCTTAATGAAGACATACTCCATGTCTATGTTGTAGCCAGGGAAGCCAGGGCTTGAAGAGGTTATACAACATACATAGGGTCACAGTAGTTAGGGACAGAGGGAAACAGAGATTCAAACCCAGGCCCTGTGTCTGCACTGCAAGACCCCACAGGAAGAGCCACAGGATTCCATGTATATGAGATGCTCAACAGTTCCCTGTGTACAGTAGGCAGGCACTAAGTGGTAGTGTTTTATTTGTTTCTTTTGACTACTGGAACAAGTGGCTACAGGCTGGATGCCTTAAGTCAACAGAAATGTATCCTCTTTATATTTTAGAGGACAGATGTTCCAAGTTGGTACCCTTGGGATAAAACTGTTGGCGAGGTCGTGCTCCCCCTGGAGGCTTTAGGGGGAGAATCCATCCCATTCATCCACTTTCTGCTGGCTGATGGGCATTGTTTGGTTGTGACTATGTCATTCCATACACTCTGCCCCAAATTTCCCTCTGGGTGTCTCTTATGATACATGTAGGAAATATGTGTGTTCGTGCATACGTATTTGTTTGTGCACATGGCCATGTAGAGGCTCATTCCTCCATTCAGTTCCTGTGTGGAGGACAGAGGTTGACCTTGAGCATCTTCCACTATTACTCTCCACCTTATATTTTGAACAGGGTCTCTCAATGATCTGGAGCTTGTTGTTTTGGCTGGAATAGCTGGCCCTGGAGCCCCCACAATCTACCTGTCTACACCCCACCCAGTGCTGAGATCACAGATGCTTGTTAGTGCATGCAGCCTTTACTTGGGTGCCAAGGCTCCAGACTTAGGTGCTTATGCTGTGAGCACTTTACCCGCTGAGCCATCTCCCCTGTGTGATTAACTGCTACATAAAGTTGTGCATACATGGGGTCCCATACTTGTTCATACTGTATGATGTTAAAACTGGGCTGGCTGTTTCCTCAAATATGTAACATTCCTCCCTCCTTTCCTTTCTTCCTTCAGTTTTTTTTTTTTCTCTAGTGAGATAAGGTCTTTTTTTTTTTTCCTGTAGTCTAAGCTAGCATCAAATTTCTCAGCCTCCATCCCAAATGTGTGTTAGCAGCCTTATCTCTCTCTCTCTCTCTCTCTCTCTCTCTCTCTCTCTCTCTCTGTTACAAACTTTCAATTTTTTTTCTTACTTAAAAAAGCATCTAAAAACTTTTCAATACAGGGCTGGAGCAATGCCTGAGGGTGGTGGTGGTGTGGTGGTGTGTGTGTTAAGGACACTTGCTCATGCAGAGGAGCCAGGTTCAATTCCCAGCACCCACAGGGCTGCATAGAACTGCTTGCAATTCCAGTTACCACCCTCTTCTGACTGCCTCAGGCACACAGACATACATACAGGTAAAATACTTATATGCATAAAATAAACAAATCTAAACACAATTAATTACATTTATTTATTTGTGTGTGTCCAACCCACATGCATATGGTCACAGAACAACTTCTAAGAGTCTAGCTGTCTCCTTCTACCACATGGGTCTCAAGGATCAAACTCAGGACATCAAGCTTGGTGACAAGCTCTTGGTATATTGTCTTCTGCTCCACCCCTGTCCTTAGCAAATGGCAGGATTCTGTTCTTTTTTTATGGCTTAGTAGTGTTCCATGAATGCATATGACTGCCCTGCGGTCCTGAGTAATCCAGAATAATTGCCTGAGTCAAAGTCATTCCTGAACTTCATCATTCTTGTAAGGTCTTTCTTGCCATGTAAAGTAGTGCTTCGGGATAAAGACAGATATCAGCCTGTGGATGGTGGAGCATGCTTGTAATCCCAGCACTTGAGAGGCAGAGGCAGGTGGATCTCTATGAGGCCTGCCTGGTCTAGAGAGTACCAGGACAGCCAGGGCTGTTATACAGAGAAACCCTGTCTTGAAAAAACAAAAGAAAAAAAAAAAAAAAAAAAAAGAAGAAAGAAAGAAAGAAAGAAAGAAAGAAAGAAAAAGAAAAGAAACAAAGAAAAAGAAGTGGGTATCTTTTGGAGAGTCATTCTGTAGCCTACCACAAGTATTGTGGTATTTCTAGTATTACCCCTCTTTACCAAAGAGAAAGAAACAAAACAACAACAACAACAAAAACATAAGGTGTGAGGGAAGAAGGTTGGGTTTATTGCTCTTAGCTAATTTTTTTTCCTAAAGAGGAGTGGTGTTGTTGGATCACCTGATCAGATTCAATGTCCTGAGCAGGCTTTGCAGTTTTTGTTTTCACAGGGTCTCTTATATCCCAAGCCGGCCTTGAACTCACTGTGTTGCTGAAACTGGCCTTGAACTCCTGATCCTCCTGCTTCTGCCTCCAAAGTGCTGGGATAATAGGCATGTGCCACACACAGGGCACTAAAGGAGGCTTGAGTCTGGTCCCTATCCCACCCTAAAAGCACAAGTATCTGGGGTTCTCCTTAGTTGGTTCACTCCAGTCAATAAGAAATAGCTATTTCAGATTTAGGCTTCAGGCTTTTAACTTCCCACGGAAAACCTAGGAGGAAGACTCCAAGATTTATTTGAACATTGGAGGGAGGAATGATCAGTGCCATCCCTGGGGGGCCAGAAGAACCTTGGTGTAGCATATGTAAAGACATAGCCACCCATCCGGAGAGAATAGCTGAAGCGGGCTACTAGCAGGACTCCGTAGCTGGGTCTGTTGTGCTGGGACAGGGACTGGACTCTGGATGGCTATGATATGTCAGCAGATCCAGGTCCCATTCTGATTTGTTCTATGTCATGCTGTGTTCCTGAAGCTGATTTAACTCCTCAATCCTTCTCAGGGGAGAACTCTTAATGATCAAAGGCTTGTTAAGTGTTTGTTAGACCTTAAAGTGGCACACTGTCAGACTGGGCCTCCCAGGGTGACCTCCGGGACAGAGGGGTGAGGGGGGAGAATGTTCTCTCTGGCTCACCGCTGCTCTAAAGGCTTTGTCACCCCATGTAACCTTCAGTTCAACCTAAACACTGCTGTAGAGGGACTGTTTGTGTTCCACTTGGTGGTTATGTTGGGGGGAGGAGGGCAAAGGGGAAGCGAATGAGGTGGGGATAAGTTAGGGACCCTGGAAGGAAACTTTCAAAGCCTGTATAGCTCATCCTTTCCTTTTTCTGCTCATTAGCTCTGCACTGGCCCAAACATCCTAAAAATAGAAACCTAGCTTCCTCTAGGCTGGTGAGGTTGGTCTGAAAGAAAAGGAAGAGTGATGGGTTGGGCAAAGGCCTGAGGCCAATGAGTGGACCTGAGGAGAGTGGAAGTGGCCTCTAGCTGAGGACACCCACCTTCAGTCAAGGGTATCACCATCTGCGTGTTGCCCCTCCTGAGTCAAAGGATAGTCTCAGCTAGTCTTTTGGGGCCAACTGTGTAGCTTGGAGCAAGTCACTGAGCCACTGAATCTAAGGACTCAGCCTATACAACCCTGTGCTGTCTTTTATTATTATTTCAGGAATTTATTTTAGTTTTGAGACA